GAAAAACTAGCATTTTTGTCCAAATACAGCCAGATGACACACCACATGCAAGCAGCCATAACATTGAAGTTGTTTGATTCTAAAAACAAAGCATGTCTTATGAAAGCATCACGTAATCTTTCTTCTGCATCTGTACTTGAGGCTATTTCAGTCTCTTTAGAAATATCATTTGACAGTCTTTCAGGCTCACTTTCCCTCATTTCTTTCTGCCACACTTCTCTTTTTGCTGTTTCTTAAAAAAGATGATAGATGAGTTAATATATACAGTGAAATCCGTTAGTATGCCTATAAGCTCATGTACACTTGTAACAGCCAATGTGGGACGTGTGAAGTTGCTTTGATCGACTCGAAAGCCAAAGTCTTTTTTTTTTGTGGTGTGATGAGTTCACTGCCAGAGCTCTAACCAACCCTAATTTAGGGTATGATGGGGAGGTAATGAGGAATATTGCACTAAACGCAACTCACTGTAAATAGAGAATGCCTACATGTTATATTGAATATCCTCTCTTTAAAGAATGTCCTCCAGGCCATCACTTAATGCAAAGTATTCAGCTTTCGCTCGTACAGACTATCGATTTCATCCAGTTCGTGCTTGAGACATTAACAAAGCATGCTGAGCTTGATAAACGTGTCACAAACTGACTTGGTTGTTTGAGCTGTAACACTATGTGAGCTATTGTGGTAAGGTTTTTTATTACATGGCTGCTTGTTTTAACCGGTTTAGGGAATGTTGTATGTCTCCACCTACTGTTGAGATACAGAACTTCAAGAGAATATAGAGGAAGAGCATTAAGCCTTTTAATGCACGTTTTTATTCATTTTACCAAGAGCAGCAAGTTCATCTGGTTTTAAAACAGGTTTAATCATGAGTTTGCGATGGTGTTGAATGTCTGATGCTATGCACATGATCAACCCACCCCATTTTCTGGAAGCATTTGAAATGTACATTTTAGACAACGGTTCATTTTGTAAAAGTGTTTTTGTGTTTTATTTAGACCAAGTTTTTCACCTTTATTTTCTTATTTAAATACTGGACTGGTTCTTCATATGAGACTGATTTATTTTCATTTCAAAATCAGATTCTATGACCAATATGTTGTGCTCATCTTTAGGTGTATGAATTCAGCTTTTATGACAAATAAATATGCGATTCCAGTGACACCTTCCAACATACAGCATTTTCTGAAGTGTGTATGTGTGTGTTTTGCAGGATCAAATCAGTGCAGTATGTCTGTGGACCCTAAAGGGAACATTTGCTACATTTATTTGCATGTATTTCAAATGATACCAGTGGAAGTACTGAGATTAAGCAGCTGATCTGGGATCAGCTCTACTGTTTTCCTAGAATGGTTTAACAGGGTGTGAGCTGGTCTTGGTATACTGGCAACGTGAACTTCTAACGGAGTGATGAGGAAGTTTGAATCTTAAGTTTCTGTTTGCATTCAATAGTTGAAATGGTGAGTATTAGACCTTCAGAGGCTCAATGAAGTCCCTGAAACACATTTGTGGGGAATGTGTCAAAATGTTGCACAATTATAGCATCATTAAAAATACAATATGGGAATTTAATCGGACAACCATTTTATCAAGTACTTGTAACACAAGGCCACCGTAACCTTCTTGATGTTATGTAGATGTATCAGTTAAGACGACAAATAAAAACTGAAATACCATGGACCTCATGTTTGGTCATATTTTCTTGATTTTTAATCAGTTGGTTAAAAAAGCAATAATCAGAATGTGATTCAACATGCAATATTTTTCAGTCATACATTCACATTGCATTATACAAAACAATACATTTTCATATAAAACTAAATAGTAACCACAAACATGTAAATTTTTTAAAGCATCTAAAAGCCATTTTTAAGTATACCAAAAAGTTGTTGACATTATATAATAGCGTCACATCTAGCAGGGGGGGGGGGGGGTTTATAAAATTTAATAAACTTTAGAAAGTCTTTCGAATGTGAACTTTCTGTGGAAGTGAGTCGGCTATTTTTACTGACTTAAAATCATTACTATACAGAAGGCAGGCTCAATTATACAGGAACAGACTGTACAAATAAATAAAGTGAAATTTAAAAATCTTTTTCGGTTAAAAACAAAACGTGACTTAAAATTCATCATGTCACTCAAGGACAATCTTTTACACACTGTAAAATTTATTTAGGTGTGTTGGTCTCATGCATGTGGCTTATTTTCACAGACATTTGTCTTCTCTTGAGTTTAGCAAGCCTCAGGCTCTTAACACACTTATATCTGATCTGCAGGGTCTGGAGTGTGCTGGTTCCACTTCTTGAGGTTTGACAGGTGCTAGACATCACACTCTTGGAGGAGGTGGTCTAAGGGCCTGTGAGGGAGAGAGTTAACAAGGCTCTAAATGGTCAGAAAAATATCTCTTATGTTTCTAAAGTAATTATAATGTATTCTCTTTTTTTTCTTTTAAATAAACGTGGATGCTAAATGAATAAATAAGTGTCAAATATAGTCACTATCATTTCATCCAAATTTTCTTAGCCTCAGACTGGAAGCATAAAGGTATAGTGCACCCAAATTCTTCCTTGTTTTTATAGCAAAATTAAATACACTGTATGGTGACCAAGGCTGTTTAGCAAACTTTTAAGGCCACATTTTCAGTCAATAAATTACATAAATTAAGTCTGTTACACTGTAAATAATATATCACTATTTCAACATTTCTTCAGTGGACGTTGAATATTACACGAGTCACATGGATTACTGGTACTTTTGCAAAGCTTTTTCATCATTTTGGAACTTGACAGTCCCTGATCTCCCTCTACTTCTGTTGTATGTAAAACGTATGGGTTCCACAGAAGACAGTAAGTCATAATTGGTTTAAAACAACATTAGGAATTTTCATTTTAGGTTGATTAACTACTATTCCTTTAAATACTGATGTAAACATCAGTCATTACACATTATGTAGAGTTAGCTTTGCTACCTGTCGCGCATTTAGGTAGTCATTATGCAGAACTCTGGATTGAGCTGAAGAGGGTGGAGATGGAGGAGGTGCTGTAGGCCTTATAACCTATAGAATAAACAAGAGATCACAAAGTCCTGATAATGCTTTCATTTGGTATAGATTGTGCTTGTTGTTAAATGAGATGATGAAATTTCATCAGATGTGACTGCAAGTTACCAGAGACGGCTTCTGATTTGGTGTCGACTGATGGCTGTAGTCAGGGATGTCGACTACATGAACTTTCTGCTGCCTTGGATGGCTATTAAGAAAACAGCAGCATTAAATGCACTTGATTTATTGACTTCCTCCAGTGTTTAAGTGTTGGTTTCCTATACTCTTACCTGAATGAATGTGGCGTGCTCTTTCTGCGCTTGTAAAAGAAGACGGCCAGTCCAATTAGAAGTATCCCAATCAGGATGCAGACAACCACGACAATGGCTATTGTCACCACTAGAAATGCAAAGAGGCAAAACATTTGTATTTGTGATTATCCAAACAAAAAGAATATGAGGCTATTTTGAATACAGTGTCTGTGGTATACCTTTAGAAGAACCTTCACTTTCTGCTGGTGTTTCACAATCTGGAGGCAGCCATCCAGTTTCACATCTGCACTCCTTTCTGTGGTCACAAACCTGTAGCATATACACTTACATGAATTCTTCTAATACAAGTTGTACAGTATGTATAACTTATGAAAGAATATTATATTAAGACCTGAAATAGTCAAAAAGCATAACATGGAAATGTCCCCATTGTAGGACGAATAAAGGTTTATCTAATCTAATCTATTTGTTTCATCTTATGAGGAAACGAGACGTTCGTGTTTGAGAAAGGCATATTTTATACCGCATGGCCTCTGCACTTGGCGGAGCAGTTTGTTGCTTTGTAAGCCGTCTCTAGGTCAACACACTCATTCTGGTTACAAACCTGAGAAAACAAACACATCATTAGTGTCAAATTATAATGCTTCCTGATAGCAAACCTATAAAGTTTCTTTTATTAGAGGTGATTGAAGGAGTTCATTGTTATTGAGCTACAAGGAAGTTTGGGAATAACTGGCATGTATCTAGAGACCAGTCTTACCAGTCCTTCCCCACATTTGGTGCCTGTGTCGACTTGACCATAATCTTTTTCAGGATCGCTGTAGAATGTGGCTTTACAATTGTTGAATTTTACTAGCCGTCCATAATTGGGATTTGCATTGCCATCTTCGCAGAACAGTTTTCCACACATCACATCTCTGCAGATAGACAAAAAAGATTGGTGTTTGATCAGACAGTGAAGGGATATGTTAAGGGATTAATGGATGGACTGATAAATGTAAAATCTTACTGTCTTTGGCATCCAATAAATGTATTGCCATTGCGTTTGCAGTAGGCGAAGTATTCCGCTCTTGTGTTCTGGTTGAAGCAATAGTCTCGAGCCACCACAGCAGCTTGATTTATTTGAATAAAAAGAAAAATTAGCACAGTCATATGGGACTCAACACAAATTTTTCACTATTGTGTTGCATCAATACTGTACTCACTTGGACCCCACATTTTAATGCACTGCTCCTCTCTCTGTGGGCACTGGCCATTGTAGCAATAGCCTTTTCCATTCTTGCAAGGGAGTCCATTGACTGTAAAGACGTCTTCAGGACACTCGGCTGATTTTCCAGTGCATGACTCTGGCAAATCACAGTCATAATTGTTTGGACGACACACATGTGCGGCTGACATGATCTGATGGGGAGGAGGAAAAACATATTGGTATTGGCCTATAAATGAATGAAAGCAGGCCAGGCCTACCTTTTTTGAGATGTTGACATTTCAAATTATTGAAAACAATGACACATTATTTTGAATGTATTTCTTGTAATATTAATGTTATATTTTAAACTATTTAGTTTAATCCGGTTTAAAAAGTTTGAAATGTGATTGGTACGAAAACCCGCGGAGAAGCTCCATTTAATTCTATTAATTATTCATGAGGGGAACGCCCCTCGAATCATTTTCCTCCAATCACTGCCTGATGCAGGAGAGCAGAGTTCAAAACCACTATCTATGAAGCAACGTTGAGAGAGACAATCTTTTGTTGTGCTCCAAGAATCAGAGACCTTTAGTTGCACATATTCCATTTACACAAAGAAAGGCATTGGTTCAGCGGCACCCGGGCTGATCATGAAAGCGATTTATTAGTGATAAAGATTTTTGCCAAATATATGGGCCTTCTTTAGCAGTTAAAGAATTGTTAAAACTTATAGAACTTGAGTGTATGCTGCTACCAAACGCACTAAAGCAGCTGTGTTAATCTGATACTTTATTGATTTGATGAATGTTATGGCAAAATTCCCCCAACTCTTTGAATCTTACCTTACAATTCTCACAACATTCCCCTGTTGCACATTGTGAGCCCTCTGTCAGTTTGCAGGTGGTGGCATTGCAGCATGGGTTTGTACACTCCTATAGGTTGTGAAATAAAGACAATGAGTATGTCTTAAGATGTCTTAGCATTTTAGGTGTGTTTGCTCTGGGCACATAATAAATTGTATTTTAAGTACTAGTTCTGAGGATCTAGAAAAGCTCTTGGAAAGTAATGTACACGCCAAACAATGAATAAATGAACATCCAGTAAAAGTATGCTGTCCATCCTACACAATTTCTGGCCAAAAAGAAGAGATGACTAATGTAGTGCATGTATAAACAGATTTGCAGTAATTAATACATGCATTCCATCATCTTATTTTCACACTGCCGCGAAAGATAATATGAGAGATTGACAATCCCATCTCCTCACATAGGCACACCAAACACAACACTACTTTAGTGATTCATTGTCAAATGTAGAGTATAGCCTACTGGAAAACATTCCTGTTGAGAATTGTCTGTGCATGTCTTGACATTATCTTGCTTCTGATAGTATATAGATGTGACTTGTTGAGTATACATTTAAATTTTAGGGTCTTCCCATGTCATTCTAAGGCCCTGTCCACATGAACAGGGTATTTTCAAAACCGCAGCTTTTTCTATGGGGTTTGGCCGTTCGTCCACACACAAACGCAGCACCAGGTCACTGAAACCAAACATTTTTGAAAACTCCTGCCAGGGTGATGATTTTCAAAAACTCTGGTTGCAGTGTTATCGTGTAGACAGTGAAACCGGAGATTTTGGCTTGTGACGTCAGAGCATGTGCTATTATCTCCACCTACTGGAAACTTTTTCAGGCTTCTGATTGACCAACATGGCTTTACGGTTGAGACTATATCGCCACCTGTTGGCTTGGCATGCTTTTGACAGTGCTTCATAGCATGCTTTTGCATTTTCATGTGGACAGAGGAACTCCGTTTATAAAAATACCCATGTACATGTGGACATGGCCTAATTTGACCTTTTTCCATACCTTTCAACAAATAAGTTTGTTTGGTACTTTTCTTTGATGTTTTGAGTAACTTACTTGAAATAAATCTGTTGACATTTTTCAGACATTTAAGAAACCCTAGTCCGCTTACCTGCACTTTTCCACAGTCACATTGTTCTCCTATCTCCACAAATCCATTTCCACATACAGGTGGCTGAATCAATTCTTTTGGTTTGGGCATATTCATAAGACATTCTGGGTTTTTGCTGTTCAGGTAGTCTACATAGCTACTACTACTGCAGCTGCTGAAGTGTTGAGGGATGAAATAGCTGCGGAGATATGGAGCAGTGATATTATTTGCTCAGACCTTTTGTTTTGACTCTCCATAAATTTCAAAATAAAACATTACAGTAAACATTACAAAAAAATACTAAGCTAATGAAGTTCAACTGGTACACAGTAAGTACCTGAGAGCAGCTGTCATAATGCATGTGCCATCAGAACAAACGCAGCTGCTGCTGTCATGACTCATGCCCAGATTGTGCCCCATCTCATGGGCCATAGTAGCCCCCACTGCTATAGCCTTAGAGTTGTGATCCTTTGAAGAGGAATAAACAGTTAGGTCCAGGCTTAGCATGGATGAAAACATAGATTTTTCATTGAAATCTTAATTTAGTCTATATTATGGTGAAGTATTAAGATTAATTTGGCACAAAGTAAAGAAAAAGGCATTGCAACAAAAAGTGATACGCTACGTCAAGACCATGTGGTAGAACATTTTTTATTCTCTTTAAAAAAACATGCAAGTGTATTTGTTCGCAATATTACTGCATTTGATGAATTAATTAATAAAACAGCCTAAATCCATCTGCATACATCTACATATATCCCCTTTTTTATTGTAATCCTATCAGATTATTTATTTATTTTCATGAATGCAAGTTTCATTACATATTTTTGGCAAATATGTTTGTGACTTGTTATGAGTGAATATTCCTACCTGTACAATCCCTGTTGAAAGACCTCCACACAGAGTTCCAATGTAAGCTAGACCCACAGTTGCTCCATCAAGGTTGATTGCACTGAGAGAAGGACAAAAAAAATCAATGTTTAATCCAAATTCAACTGATCCTGCTGGATTACATTTAGTTAGTGGTTAAAGTGTGTCTTCTTTCGGTTTCAGGTTTTAAACAATTTCAAAGTAGAACACAATATCACAGCTTGAAGCAGGCAAAGTATTGGAGAAGTTCTGAGCTGATCTGATTAACAATATTGTATTTTCCCCACATGTGAGCTGACCTAAGGAGGTGGGCGTTGTCGTGCTGCTGTCTTTTGATGAGATCGTTGTTCCTCCACTGGGTAAAGCTGTCCAAGGTAGCTCCAGCAACAGGAGAAACTGTTATCTTATCGCTATCTGTCCAGACTTCAAATCCAGTCAGAGCAATGAATGTGTTGATTTCTTTATATACCTGCACACCAAGAAAAGAGTGAAAGAAGATAATTGTATGTTATTGTATATTGTGCACAGTGGGGTCCAAAAGTCTGAAACCATTAGAGATTTCTTTTTCTGATTACATATCTTTTTAAATGACAAATTGTATTATTAAAAAAATCAACAATATGCTATTCATCACAAGTTGTTACAATTAGTGTTTTGTTTGCAAAATACTGACTCGCGAGCTTATGGAAAACTTTGAGCCATGTTATCCTGCATGATTTGCATCTTGTGTGCTTCAGTGGAGGAACACATAGACCTTGTCAAAAATGTGATAAATCTAAAACCTAGAAGTGCAGAATCTTAAATATTTCTTACTCATTTTATGCCATTATGCCACTTTTGAAACAAGCTTTTAAATGGAGTTTTTTAGATATTTGGACTCCACTCTTTATACGTTTTGTACTGGCGCAACACTATAAATGGTTTAAACTAAAGTACTAAACCAGTACTCATCAGAAGATCTGTAGATGGCAAAGATCTGTATCTAGTCATGTGATTAATTATCACACTCAAGAATCCTTGTTATCACAGGTTTTAGTTGCAATATCCTGTATGATGATCCATAAATGTTGGCATGCTGGAATTTTTTGATAACATGCATCATATGTGACTCACATTATTGATGTAATTGATGATCTCAAATATCCTCTTTCTCAGCTTCTGAAGATCGCTGTCCATTTTCTTGTACTGAGGGGGAACAAAAAATTTAATGATGAATCCAAGCATTTTGTCATTCAATCACGCGTCTATAAGGATACACTTTCTGAAATCTGTTAGCATCAGTGTTTTTAAATGCACTGTGACAAATTTAGAAACAGTTTGATTCAATAAAAACCACAATGCTGAACAAGCACAAAATGTATGTTACTTTAAGCCAGGGATTTTTTTTCTATATCATCTGATAGTCACTGAGGTCCCAAAAAATGAATAAATAAAAAAACCTTTATCTGTGAATCATTTTTAGATTAGTTATTCTTCATCAAGGTGCATTTATTCCAGCTCTTACTTCGCTGTTGTCTGCCACAAGGAAGAGCTCGATGTATTTTTGTTGCTGGAACAAAGTTGGCCCCTGATCAAGAGGAAGCAAATAGATGGAAAATAGAGAACAGACTAATTATTTCAGTGACAAAACAAAAAAGAACTACCATACTTTAGTGCATGTACTGTACAAATATTAGGTTAATCTGGGACATTTTTTGCACTTCAGACTTCTGCAATTTATTGCGATCGTCACCTTAACATTGCAGAACAACGAATAAGACTTTATCACATGACCTGTCTGAATGTGGTTTATCCTTGTGAAACTTTAACTTTGCTTTGCTGCTTTTTGCAATGCTAAAGTAACTGAATAGACCGTCTTACTGAGGAACGAGAACGACTTTTGAGAATGCGTGGAGGAGCGCCTTCCTCACTCTCGTCCCAAGTAGTGTTGGTGACCCCACACACTCTAGCCGTCTCTTCATTTACATCTTCGTTCTTAAAGACAGCATGGTCACCATCACCATCCTCGGACAACGGCTCGATCAGAAACCTCTGCTCCTCTGTTTGGAAATAGCCTCTGTGAAGACAATTCACATAATGGGCACAATGTCTTTTGTATGTCTTTTGTAGGGACTTTTGGCCTGGTTACAGAGAGTAGTAAGCCTGTGGAAATCAAAGCAATTGGCACAAGATGTGACTTAATCAGGGGTGCTTGGGAAACCATGTGTAATTTGTGTGTCTCATGTATCTAAGTAGGAAATGCAAGTCATGCTGTAACTTCCGTTCATTGCAGAAAAGCGAAAGAATGTGCTTGAGGCAACAAACTGACTGAATACAGTCATAGTAATAGCAGTAGAGATTGTAGAAAGAAGCGTTTTAAAGATGTATATGTGTACTTTTGTTAAAGCAAGTTAACATGAGATTGTAAAAGTTCAAAAGAAATGTTTTTTAAAATTGTTTCCTTACCGTAATCCATCACAGGTGCTCATGCTAACCGATGACTTGCTGTCATTGACTATTTTCCCATGATAATAGCACAAGTCCTATGGAAGAAAAAGAGTATTAAATAAATCTCTCACTCTATGGATTATATGTTATGTATGTCATATGTTAGTAATACTGGTTGTAGTATACCAGATCCTCAGGTGTGGTTGTGACAAGCATCCCATCTTCAGTGTAATAAGTTTCGCTATAGTCTTTTGTCAATAGGCCACTGTTGACCAACACACATTTCTCAGATCAGTAAAAATCGCAATTTGTCAATTAATGACATGACATACAAATGTTCGACTTTGACAATCAGGAACTTTTTTAAATGACAACAAGCGGATATACAAAAATGATGACAAAGGAGTAACTGGGGACACAGGCTTACTCATTTTTCTGGAGGTGCATTTCAATGTCTCTACCTCCCAGTGTCATAGCGTATTTCACTGTGTCAGGTCTTGACTGCAGGGGATGAAAATAAATCAAATTTAGTTTGATTAAAATATTTAAACATGGAATTTAGAGGTGGGTTGATGATAACTCACATTTAAGTCTCTTTTTTGAAGTGCATGCAATCTGATTGGTCGAACAATCTCATACACCTTTTTTCCATCTAGTTCAGGAATGTGACCGACTATAGCAGATTGACAAACAGAGGGAATTATTGATACTGAATCACAGATTAGTCATAAAGTACATGCATACAGTAATGTTTTTTTATATATAGCCTGTAGATATAGACTTTTAGACATCAGAACTATTCCAACTGATCCAGATATTTTAGTGAAAGCACAAGTGTAAACTTTTAACCTGCTGGTTTAGGTGATTACTGCCAACAGACTTACGGGGATCTGTTATTTTAATGTTATGTGCAAAATCGGTAGACAATAATCTCTGTCCAAGTTTGAGCTTCTTTTTTTCCTTAAAGCGTGTTTGTTTTACTGTAAAAAAAATCTCCCCTAATAAAAATTTGTTGTTAATGTTCATTAGGGCGAAACAATGGTATCTCATGTTCTTGTTTTAAAAGTAGCAAATGTTTCATCTAGAGATGCACCGATTGCAATTTTTTTGGCCGAGTCCGATTTTTTTGTTAGTGTGATCTGCCGATACCGATTTTTGCCGATTCCGATTTTCTTTCTAAGAACTATAATTGACAGCATACACAAACAAATATCTAATTTTCTTCAACGCAAAGTTTTTTCTTAAAAAAGCAAGTAAAAAGTCAGTAATAAAACAAGAACACAAATTGCAAACAACAGCACAAATAAATGCAATAGAATAAAAAGAGCTATGAAACTAAGTTTTTCAGGTTAAGTAAGTTTTTATTCAGGTAAGAAATGGTACAGAAATTAAAGTAATCAAATGTAAAATAACGCATCCAGTGTTATCTTTTGCATCAAACTTATCTTTCTAGTGCATCAGCAACAACCAGTTTCAACAACCAGATGCATTTACACTTGTCGAGTTTCGTCTGGAATGCGGCCCAGACCACCTCCTGAAGTGGTTTGAGCAATCGGATTTATATCCATCTCGAATGCGTTTCGGAGGGCATTTACATAGCTATCCGATCAGAAAAAAAACGCATGAAGTGACCAGGTGTAAACAGGCCCATGTTTGGTGTTTGGTGTAAGCGTGAAACCTGCGGGAATGACTAAAATAATGCACAATACAAGCATTTAACCGGAGCAAATGAGATGTGTGTGAGAGAGAAGGGGTCGTCGGAGAGAAGAGAGCAAGAATGCGCGGCTGATGTTATTGCCTGTGCCACTGGTAACAAAACGGATCGGCTCGGAATCGGAAAGAAATGAGACTGATCGGCCGATCATGAGGAAAATCGGCCGATTCCGATCCCTTGCCGATCGATCGGTGCATCTCTAGTTTCATCAATTTAGCAAATTAGACTCTGCAAAGAATAGATAAGCATGGTATTTTTTTAGGGTGTAGCTTCAACATCAGCAATAGCACAATCTGTCTCAGATCTGATACAAAGCAAATGCATTAATCAAAGGGTGTGCTGTTGTTATTGAGCCTAAAATATTTAACTGCACTCTCAGAAAAAAAGGTACAAAAGGTATGAAAGCTGTCACTGGGGCAGTACCACCTTTTCAAAAGGTACAAATATGTTATATGTACCATACTAATATGTACATTTAAAGGTATATATTAGTTATTAGTTAAAGGTACATATTAGTCACATACTTAAATGCACTCTTTCGGGATAAATAAGGGACAAAGCTGTAATTTTTTTTAAAAAAGATAACGCCCCAGTGACAGCTTGTACTTAAAAAAAAAATCAAGATGAGATGATCAGATGGTTCGTCACGATACGATACGATATCGATTCTCATACCCAACGATATGATATTTGCCGATACTTCAAAAAATTCTACGAGACGATTCAATACAGGAGAATATCGATCGATATATCGATATTATTATATTATATACCTATTTTAAACATCCATCTACATTTTTATGTGCATGCAACCAAAACATATAACATGAACATTTATCTTACATTTTCACACCCTGTTCCTCAATTGGGACATTCACAGCAAAAAGTAGGCCTACACTTTTTTTTTAAATAATAAAGAATTTTTTTTGCAGCCCTTTCATGTAATCAAATAGTCTAATATGCACCAGAAAGTGACAGGGAGATTAAATAAAACAAAAAGAATTGATAACAGTTTATATTATATTTAAGTACTGAATTAATATGAATTCATAATATGCTTGTGAATTAACCTTTTTAGTATTAATACTATTTATTATACTGTTTTGGTATTGGTTCAGTTGTATTTTGTTATATTTGCATGTAATACGTAGACACTACAATCTAACGTGTTACCAGCGTTTTAATATGAATTAATTGCTTCATGTTTTCTTGGGCATATTATCTAAAATATGCAGCAATGATTTGAAATGATGTAAAACAATACTGTTTTAAAATTATATATATATATATATATATATCATGCAGAGCAAATACTGCATTGTATATCATTTGCATGATTTACTTGACTAAAGGATCAAGATAAAGATCAAGGATCTGTACAAATAAAAATATCACATACTTTTACAATGTAAGTTCTATAATTCTAAAATCGAACACTCTTTCAATTCACTCTTTTTTCAATTCACAAAACACTCTTTGACTTAGTCAGCGCAGTGCAGTATTACAGCTGAAGAGTCCACAGCAGTGCAGTGATAAGTTAATCAGTCATTGTGGAGCAGAGGCACTGGTGTATCCAGTATCTTACCTGTGGGATCGAGTGAAACACACAGAGCAAATATCCACAACATCAGATGTCTTCTGGCCATTGTCAGTGTACAGAACTGAAACAGGATCGTTTGGTTAAGCAGTTTTATACTTCAGTTAAAGTGTTTTGTAGGCTCCACACAAGCACTTTCAGGAAATGACACAGAGGTATAGAAGATTAGTGACATGCTTGGACACGCCCCTGAGAGTGTTAAAAGAATGCAGGAAATATACAGACAGACCTTGACGTAGTGATACTCGCTGTTGACAAACACTATATAGAAGCATTATGTATGAGTGTTCAGTGGCCTTATTTAACTGCTCCAAAAAGGGACCAGTATAAATTGATCACTCTGGGGAAATATCTTTACTTGTGTGTTCTAGAAAATCTTGCCTTTTAACATTTGCTGGTCAAAAACAAACAAAAAATCTCAAATGAATCATCCAGACACACAACGAGGTAAGGTGGTCAAACAGGTCTGTTATTTTACACCACTGTACACATGATTCAGGCACAATCTGATTCTACCTTTCCTTTTTCCAAATTGTTGTTACAGTGATATGTAAATGTAAAATCTTTTCTTCACACTAAAACTAAAAGAGCTTCAGTCTACAAGCAGGCAACTATAGGCTTACCTCAGAAGTACTACTTTAGTGAAACTGCAAGTGTTGCAAACATGTTTGTCATCCTAATAACAGCCAGAGTATCAAACCACTTTCTTTCATGTACATAAAATTTGCAATGCATCTATGTTATCAAGATATATTGTAATATGTTGACCCTTTTTGTTTTACATAATTTATTCAATAAACCTTAAACTGACAAAGAATGATTTGGATAGATATATTGTACATTGCTTGCAATGTAATGATTCATTCTCAAAATGTTACCAGATGAATATAGAAAGCAAATTGCCTGCATTTGTAGATACATAAAAGTGTAGAGACAAAAACAAAAAGCCTCCATAGGATGAGCAAAATACGTTGCCTTACCTTCACTTTGTTGCTCCTCGTGCTGTTTGGCTTTAAGTTTTATTCAAGACTTGCAGATTCATACTTGCTAATACTGGGTCTGTATGTGGACACTGTCTGATCGTCTTGTGAATTTCAAAACTGCATCTATCCTTCACTTTTTCTTCAGATTTTGGGTTTTCTTAACAATGTGAGTGCATGAAAATGTGTAATGTGATCAAAAAATAGGAAACTCCATGCCCTGTCATCTGTAATTTCCTCTCCCACTGAAATGCATTCTTGCTCTTCTTCTAATACACAAGGTCAAGTCAAGGACAATAATGCAGTTATTGTGCCTTCTCCTGACGCCTCCAACAAAGCCATTGTTCACTTGTTGGAGTGGAGAAAGCATGCAGTGTCCATTAGGGCCGTATGTGTTGCAAACTGGCCCTTTTCTCTCTTCCCTTGTCTCCTCCTGCTCTCTGTCCTTCTGTGATCTATTGCTCAATTGTCTGTTCGGTCATGGATCTACACTTGTGTGTGTGAGAATAGATTGAGATCTGGTAGATGAAGCTGATCATCGTCAAAAACCAAAATGTGACCCTGCCTGTGAAAACTAAAGTCTTTTTTTTTGTGATTTACTGTTTGCTACATAAAATCATCCTTACCCATCATCCTTACCCCTCACCCATAAAGATGTAGAACATTCTGTGAAAATATAACCTTTATAAATTTTATATTGACTGAGTAAGGCCATGTCAAAGATTGAAATCATTGTGAAATTAATGGTTGAAATCAAACTTTGATGCTTGTTATCTCATAATTAGATTTGTGAGACTTTAGCCTGGATTTCTAAGAGACAGGGTCACATACGTATGTGGTCAAACCCTGTTGCTTCTGGTAAAAAAAGACATTTAATATTCCCCAATGAACCTGAAAGGCTTACGTAAAGAAACACTATTGACACAGTCAACATTCAGATCCTGAGCATAAAAGTGTGACAAGACACACATTTGTAAATACACTACTGTTCAAAATATTTTTTTTATGTTTTCATAATCTGTTATGATCACTAAGGCTGCATTTATGTGAAAATGAAATGTAAATTAAAAAAGAAACAGTAATATTGTGAAACACTATTGCAATTTAAAATAACGTTCTAACTGAATATATTTTGAAATGTATTTTTTAACCCTGTGATGGTAAAGCTGAATTTTCAGTAGCCAGTAGCAGTCTTCAGAGTCACATGATCCTTCAAAAATCATTCTAATATGCTGATTTGGTGCTCAAGAAGCACTTATTATTATTATCAATATTTAACACATCAGCATGTTGTGCAATATTTGTGAGAAAACAGTGATAATAGAAAATTCAGAAGAACAGCATTTATTTGAAATAGAAATGTTTTGTGACATAATACATTTCCTTAATGTTACTTTTGATCGGTTCAGTGCATAGACCGATTCCTTTCTTGGTGACTGTTTTAAAGCTGCTGACATGCTTACCAGGCCTTGTTTTCCACTCACTGCACAGAGCCCGCTCCAGGCGCACATATTAAATCCAAACCATGATTTCTGAAGCTAATTTGAGCAGGGCACTGAACAGAAAGGAAGATTGGATGTTGCAATAGTACAGTGAAGAATAGGGGTTAATTACAGTTCATTGGTCTATCCTCCTTTTTTGGGTTGAGTGAAACTTAAGGGGCACTAAACTCATATCTGTCTCTCAGACGTACTTAATGCACATTGTTGCACGTGTCTGCGCTTCTTCTTTACAAACTTCTGCTGATATAGAAGTTCCAGTTTCTGTATCCTGTATGGCTCAAGTGCTATTTTCTCTCTACCCAAATTCTAATCTGGAACAGATGTTCAGATTTCTGTGCATATCTTCTATATCTTCAAGTGAAATATTAATATGAACAATTACCAGTAAGAAATTGGGCTTTTGCTATTCTTTTAAGAATTCTTTACAGCAATGGAATTAATACATTGCCAGGTTGTTGCATCATTTATATTGCAGTAATTATTTATTTATTTGAAAGTGTGTAGCGTAAGATAGATAGATGAATATGAGCTCATCCATTTTAGTTTGTAGGCATTTCAAATGAATAAATACATAACCTAATACATTTTTTTACTTTATACTGTGACTAAACCCCGCCTCCACAGAAGATCAACGCCTGCTTCTACATCACTGTCTGTTTAGCCCCGCCCACCGATTAATGCATGTAGTGTAAATAATGAGAGAGACAAATGGTCCAGACAGCATCAGTAAGAACTTGATCCTTTTCCGCTGATTCGTTTACAAACACAGCACAATTCCACACAGGATTTTCACTTGTGTGTGTGAGAATAGATTGAGATCTGGTAGATGAAGCTGATCATCGTCAAAAACCAAAATGTGACCCTGCCTGTGAAAACTAAAGTCTTTTTTTTTGTGATTTACTGTTTGCTACATAAAATCATCCTTCATAAAGATGTAGAACATTCTGTGAAAATATAACCTTTATCAATTTTATATTGACTGAGTAAGGCCATGTCAAAGATTGAAATCATTGTGAAATTAATGGTTGAAATCAAACTTTGATGCTTGTTATCTCATAATTAGATTTGTGAGACTTTAGCCTGGATTTCTAAGAGACAGGGTCACATACGTATGTGGTCAAACCCTGTTGCTTCTGGTAAAAAAAGACATTTAATATTCCCCAATGAACCTGAAAGGCTTACGTAAAGAAACACTATTGACACAGTCAACATTCAGATCCTGAGCATAAAAGTGTGACAAGACACACATTTGTAAATACACTACTGTTCAAAATATTTTTTTTATGTTTTCATAATCTGTTATGATCACTAAGGCTGCATTTATGTGAAAATGAAATGTAAATTAAAAAAGAAACAGTAATATTGTGAAACACTATTGCAATTTAAAATAACGTTCTAACTGAATATATTTTGAAATGTATTTTTTAACCCTGTGATGGTAAAGCTGAATTTTCAGTAGCCAGTAGCAGTCTTCAGAGTCACATGATCCTTCAAAAATCATTCTAATATGCTGATTTGGTGCTCAAGAAGCACTTATTATTATTATCAATATTTAACACATCAGCATGTTGTGCAATATTTGTGAGAAAACAGTGATAATAGAAAATTCAGAAGAACAGCATTTATTTGAAATAGAAATGTTTTGTGACATAATACATTTCCTTAATGTTACTTTTGATCGGTTCAGTGCATTCTTAAAAGTGTATTATATATAGATAGATAGATAGATAGATAGATGTATATTATACAAAGCCTTATTATGAAACAGCCTGGATTCCAATACCTTGCCGTATCTTTAGGTTTTATTTTTTAAGTATTAGAGGTAGTAATTAGGTTGTTAGAGTTATATAACATTAAATATTTGATGGGTAGTCTAAAACTGTATTTTTATTATCATACTTTCTGTAAAGTCCACATGAATAGAACAGCTTTTGGTACTTCTAAGAACTTGTGCATGGTAATACTGTTTGAGACAGAGTTTTGAGTTATGCAGCAAAGATGATTTTCTATGTTAAAGCACATCCAGAGAATTGTTAGTTTCAAGAGGCGTGCATGGACCCGCAGAGACCTATAAAATCATGTGTCCACATTCTTCCTCCGAGTAACAGTTACAACATGTATTTGAGCTGCTGAATGCATTCACAGATTTATATGCTGTTTCATGCCATGGACCATCTGTACCCTTGTCTTAAGATTTTATTGTTTAGTGGAACTTAATAACAATATCTCATTCTGCTGTTCTTTGTATGACACAAGTGTTTTACAGAATATCAGTGTTTAAGCTTAACTGATAGACTTTATTCTTTAAGGTTGTTAAATCCCTGTTCAGTTTCATAGGTTTTGGGATGAAGATTTTCGGTTTTGTGTGAATATGTTGAGAGAGAGATCATGAGAGTGTAATTATAATTTTTGACCACATGGTGGCAATGTCCCCAAACTACTCAATGCCAAGTTACATGCATAATAGTCTTTATTGAGATTTATTTTAAATAAAATTTCTCCTTGCAAAGATGTTACCTCACTTCCAATGATTATGCATTTTTTCATAAGTGTTTATATAACTAATTTTTAAGGGTGTCTGGGGATAATGTGCTCTGTTGCTAAATCCTAAAAACTAAACCATTGTGGCCATAAGAGGG